GTAATATGAGTGTGCAACTTATGCCTCAATTAAAATTGCATGCGTAACTCGCATGTTCTGGCCTTCATGGCTTAATTGCAGACATAAATAGAGCACAACATATCTCTGAAAAATTTCAATACTGCATGCATGTTGATGTATGTGGAAGTTTGTGGGTTTTATCTGCAGGAATTGAAATTTCAATTGCTTCTCTTTCCCTGAACAAAGTCGAAGTAATTTTAAAGCACAGTGCATAACTAATCCTTCTTCATTAAGTACTGGAGCTTGAAAACATTAGCTTATGTATATCACTTCTAATCACTCCCCCTTCCCCCCCCCCCCCCTCCCGAAGACCAGTAAGGACTTTCCTTAAATTCGTTGGTACATGTTTAACTAGCTACAGGAGAAAGCCCTAACTATAAAGCAAATCAATTACTGTAAAAACGAAGAGCGCCGGCTTGCAGCATAACTTTCTTTCAGTATAAGTTGTGAATGTTGAATGTTGTAAATGGCTTGTGAAAGATTTTGAAGAGGACATGAGTATTCTTCAACAATTTAGAACAAATGAATGATATATGCATGGTGAAAAATTTGAACTTAGAGTTTATGCAAATCAACATGAATTTGTATCACATATACAGACTCCTTCACGCCGGTGGCTCTTTTGTGTTTTGTTCATGAATTCTCACTAATTTTACAGTCTTATCTTGTTTCTTTTGCCTAAAAATGCAGCCCTATAAATTTCCTTGCCATTACAATAAACTCTCCTTTTTTCTTTGCCATACCCATGGGCAATATATCGCAGGAACAGGACTTCGTATAGAGACGTCCAGGCATTTACGCTGAAACGAAAAATATTTTTTAAAGTAGCAAACTTTCGAAATATTGCTATTTGCAGTAATTTGGGAACACATAGTCGCTAGGACGCATTTTGTGCGCGTTTTTTTCGCAAAATTGTATTTAATTTTTTTTAAATAATACCATTGTGCATTGTAAAAATAAATTTAATTGTGTTGTTTTTGTTTTGTGGCTGTGGACACGTTTATTTCTTTCTTCGATTTTGGCGAAGCTTTCGATGCAGGTTCGACATTTAATCGGTGCTATAAAAATTTTATAATACACTGGTGAAGACCAATGCAGGTTTACGGAGCGAAAGCTAGCAATACAAAATAAACGCGATGTGTCCAGAAATACCAAACAATTATATTTCCGGCGTGCAATGATGCAAACACGGCTTTTACCATATTACCATAATAATGAAGTGGAATGTTCGCGAAATAAATCAACTTGAAATATGAGTGTGTAATTTGTGCTTCAGTTGTAAGTGCCTTTTTATGAAAATTATCGAGTGGAAATCAAAATCCGCGTGTTTCGGGTGCCTCGTATGACTAGCACTTAATGCTGCAGACCCGACAGTTGAGATCGATAACAAATTGTTGTGAATGAATTTCAAATAACAACGATTGAACAAATCATAGTTAATATAGTTGTTGCTGCTACGTCCAAGAACGGATCCCAAAACTTTCGAACGTCAGTCGAATTCTTCTTAAATTTCGACGTATGTTATGAGAAACATTATTGGTATCATAGCAATAATTTTATTGTCCTTCTATGTTATCTGGGGATATTATAGGAGGGAGATCGTTCCGCAAACCCAGCTCGTGCTTATTTCTCGTTAACCGCCAGTATTTTCTTCGAGAAAAAACTAAAAATGTCTGTGCCAGTGTTGGTAGTACCATGTAAATTTGATGCGGTGAATGGGTACTACATTACTACCTTCAAAAATAAGCAGAAATTTACTCGAAGTTTCGAGCGAAGGCGCTTTGTTAAGAGTTAGTAACCGTGACTGTAAAGCAATATCGGGCAGACACAGCGACGGTCGCAAGGACGAGAACAGAGGGCAAAAGGGGCAGACTTTCGTGGAGAATCATTTTGCCGATATATAGTCAGGAATCTGGCTAAGCAACTGCTTGGTGAAAGAATTTTGCATGCATAGAAACTTAAATTATTCATGTGTAACTCCATGTTCTGGCCTTCATGGCTTAATTGCAGACATAAAGAGCACAACATATCTCTGAAAAATTTCAGTACTGCATGCATGTTGATGAATGTGAAAGTTTGTGGGTTTTATCTGCAGGAATTGAAATTTCGATTGCTTCCCTTTCCCTGAACAAAGTCGAAGTAATTTTAAAGCACAGTGCATAACTAATCCTTCTTTATTAAGTACGGGAGCTTGAAAACATTAGCTTATGTATATCACTTCCAATCTCTCCCCCTTCCCCCCTCCCGAAGACCAGTAAGGACTTTCCTTAAATTCGTTGGTACATGTTCTAGCTACAGGAGAAAGCCCTAACTATAAAGCAAATCAATTACTGTAAAAACGAAGAACGCCGGCTTGCAGCATAACTTTCTTTCAGTATAAGTTGTGAATGGTGAATGTTGTAAATGGCTTGTGAAAGGTTTTGAAGAGGACATGCGTATTCTTCAACAATTTAGAACAAATGAATGATATATGCATGGTGAAAAATTTGAACTTAGAGTTTATGCAAATCAACATGAATTTGTATCACATATACAGACTCCTTCACGTCGGTGGCTCTTTTGTGTTTTGTTCATGAATTCTCACTAATTTTACAGTCTTATCTTGTGTCCTTTGCCTAATAATGCAGTCCTATAAATTTCCTTGCCATTACAATGAACTCTCCTTTTTTCTTTGCCATACCCATGGGCAATATATCGCAGGAACAGGACTTCGTATAGAGACGTCCAGGCATTTACGCTGAAACGAAAAATATTTTTTAAAGTAGCAAACTTTCGAAATATTGCTATTTGCCGTATTTGGGAACAGATAATCGCTATGACGCATTTTGTGCGCGTTTTTTCGCAAAATTGTATTTAATTTTTTTTAAATGATACCATTGTGCATTGTAAAAATAAATTTAATTGTGTTGTTTTTGTTTTGTGGCTGTGGACACGTTTATTTCTTTCTTCGATTTTGGCGAAGCTTTCGATGCAGGTTCGGCATTTAATCGGTGCTATAAAAATTTTATAATACACTGGTGAAGACCAATGCAGGTTTACGGAGCGAAAGCTAGCAATACAAAATAAACGCGATGTGTCCAGAAATACCAAACAATTATATTTCCGGCGTGCAATGATGCAAACACGGCTTTTACCATATTACCATAATAATGAAGTGGAATGTTCGCGAAATAAATCAACTTGAAATATGAGTGTGTAATTTGTGCTTCAGTTGTAAGTGCCTTTTTATGAAAATTATCGAGTGGAAATCAAAATCCGCGAGTTTTGGAAGCCTTGTATGACTAGCACTTAATGCTGGAGACCCGACATTTAAGATCGATAACAAACCGTTGAGAATGCATTTCAAATAACGATTGACCAATCATAGTTAATATAGTTGTGGTTGCTTCGTCGAAGGTCGGATCCCAGAATTTTCGAACGTCAGTCAAATTCTTCTTAAATTTCGATATACGTTATGAGAAACATATTGGTATCATAGCAAAACTTTATTGTCGCTATATGTTATTTGGGGTTATTGTAGGGAGGTCGTTCTGAAAACCGTCGTGTTTATTAACTCCTTCACCGTTAACCGCCAGTATTTTCTTCGTGAAAATACTAAAAATGTCTTTACCAGTGTTGGTAGTACCAATGTGAATTTGATTCGATGGATGGGTATATTACTACCTGGAAAAATAAGCAGCAACTCAACGTTTTGAACGAAGGCCCTTTGTCAAGAGTTAGTAACCGTGACTGCCAAGCAGTATCGGGCACACGCAGCGGTGTTCGCAACGACGAGATCAGAGGGCAAAAGGGGCAGATTTTCGTTGAGAAGCATTCCACTGATATATATTCAGGAATCTGGCGAAGAATCTGCTTAGTGAAATAATTTTACATGCATAGAAACAGTTAAATTAATGTTTATAATTTGAGAGAATATGATACTGACCTCTCAATTCCAAAACCTAAAAAAGAATGTCTAAAAAGGAGTTTTAAATATAGAGGAGCTAACTTATGGAGTCGTCTTATGATGCCAAGAGTGCTCCTACGATTTATACTTTCAAGAGGTTAATCGAAATCGAAAACTAGTACTTATCTATTTAAATACGTCTTTAGGCAGTTATCAATAGTGTGGGCTGTTATATTGATCTAGTTTGTTATTCTTTTTTTTTTCCTTTTGTATATAGTGTAATTGGTAAATAGTAATAGTTTCTTCTTGTAAATATATAGTGTAATATAGTCAGTAGTCTTGTTAATTTAGTATAATATAGTGTAGTAGACGCCCCCCATGAAAACCAGTCTGTAGCTGATGGGGCCAGCGTCTTAAAAGAAGTTTTAAATACATACAATACATACAAATTATTCATGTGTGGCTCGCTTGTTTTGGCCTGCATGGCTTAAGGAGGCTCCCTACAGTTCCGTGCGGGATGTTCGCGGGACAAGTACGTGAACTATCCCACGCAACTGCATGATTAAAACAATTTTTTTTAAAAATAAAGCTATTTCTAAAAGGTTTCTAATGGAAAAAAGCGTTGAATAATACTTCGTTTTGAGTGCCAAATCACTTGCGGATCTATACAGCAATTCTACATATGATACAAATATCACTAGACCAAAAAATAGCTACGTACGAAACAATATTTTTAAATTTTTTTATACATTGTCAACTGACTCAACTGTAAAACATTTGCAAAATTGCATACAAACGTTTACTAAAAAGTTGTTTACTTCTCAAGAAAACGTTCACGTTTTTAGTCGTGACAAGATTAAAGTGATTGTATGTAAACAGAAAAATATTTCAGTTTTATAGCATAATTGTTCATTTTTAGCAAAAAGTACAAAACCAAACATGAAACAAAAAAACTCGTCCACCTGTTATTAGGCTGTTACAGCTCATAGATTGGGTAAACGGCAGGATTCAATTAGCTTCAACTTTGTTTTCATCGTTTTAATCCCTCACAATAATCCTTGGATGTCCATAGCACTCAAATAAATCGAAAAGCTGACAAAAACAAAACAGTAAAAACAACATTGCGGCTCGATTTTGCTGAATGAAAACTCGTTCTGCGCCCGCGTACAATCTTTTACTAGTCAGCGACGCTTTTCAATAGGAGAATTTCTCGAGTTACACGAGGCTATTTTCTAACTTTATTTGCATTTTACTCGTTAGTTTCATCGGTGACCTATCTTCAAATTTTGACCACGAATTTATTTTGCGGTAAATTTTATAAATTTCAAATTTTAAAAAAATCTGTAGTGTGGAAATTTTGCAATAAATTTTTCGCTTTTAAAAAAATCACACACTACAGAATTTTTTTTAAACTTTCACCACAGTTGCAGAACATCATTCCTTATTGATATATGAAATAAAAAAGATAGGTCACCGACATCGTTTTTGAGATAGCGGCACATTTATTGGTTAAATTGGAATGCTTTATGCTGCCGTCATGTTGCCATGGGAACATTGACATCGTCGAAATCTAGTTCGAAATATTCCTTAGGTGACCAATATCGCCACCAAGTCGAAAAGAATTCGCGTTCTGCACGAATAAGCCTGTTTTACGGAATTATTGCTTAAACAAGAATAACTGTAGGGAGCCACCTTAATTGCAGACCCAAATAGAGCACGATATATCTCTGAAGAATTTCAATATTACATGTTGATGTATGTACAAGGACTTCATACAGTCGTTCAGGCATTTACACTAAAACTAAAAATATTTTAAAGAAGCAAACTTTCGAAATATTTCTATTTTCCCTAATCTGGGATAATAAGATAGTCGCTATATGGCGCATTTTGTGTTTTTTTTCAAAAATTGTATTTTTTTAAAATGTATACCATAAAAGAATTATACACTTGAAACTAAATCATAAGAAGAGATATTACATACTTACCAACGTTATAATGATGTTAAATCAACACAGTTAGTCCCAAAGGCCCAAGATTTCGGTATCAAATATATAGACAGATTACTGAACAATTGCTAAATTCAGAAAAGATAATAATTAAATTTATGCAAGAATTTTAATTTTTAATAAAATAAATGATTTCCCTAAACAATTGCTAACAGTGGGTAGCATGCACACATATATTGCCTACTCAAGCACAAAAATGGCAAATAAAGTTATAGATAATATAACATTTCATGAATATAAAGTTGTGTATTAAAGTGAGAACAAGCTTTCGTTGGTAGGGATGCAGCTACCTGAAAAATATAAGGAGAATTTCGACATTTCGAGCTAAGGCCCTTCGTCTGCAGTTCCTTTGGCTGCACACAAAGATAAATGAAGTAGAATGGTGCAGAGAGCACAGAATTAATGTTATAATTAATGACGATAAATATGAACAATCTTGATGGCCACGATTGGTTATATGAATACCAAACCTACACGTAACGCCAACAGAACAGAATCAGCCAAATATATATGCAAGAATCTTAATAATGAGTTCGCTAAATAATTCCTATATAACAGCGTGTACCATTCAAATATATATATAGTTATAGATAATATAACATTTCATGAATATAAAGATGTATATAAAAGTATATTGAATGTCACATGCTTTAATTTGTTAAAACCAGTTTCCAATGATGACAAGTTATAAGTGCATGAGGGCGCGGGAAGAGATGGTCAGCGGTGATGAGTGACTACGCTAATAAAATATATAAAATCCATATGTCTCCTGACTGGCCAACAGCTAAGAGCTAAATACGGAAAATAAAGTCATTCCAAGTTATAACCACAAATATTTGGGCCATATTCGGTTGACGAGAATCTTGTTGAATTACACCTCAATGCATGATAAGAATGACACTTGTTTAGCAATAACACGACTAGCAACTGAAAATACTTTCTCGATACCTCAGTTAGAACCAATTACGGGAAATTTAATATTAGATTTATTGGTCGACGAACTACTGAAGCAACAGTAGATTGTTAAAACCGAAACATAATGAATGAATTTGAGGATTAATGGCTGTGGGAGTGATGCGACATGTGACTAATTGTAGAGCATTTCGTGCATGTCACTTTTATAATTTTGCCAATTAAATCTTTTGCCATGCATCTAAATCTTTTTTGAGTCTCTGTTTTGGTTTGTATTGTGTCTGTTTTTATATTTAATTTTTCTGTGTGTTTGTGCTTCATTTAAAAAATTTTGTTTTGTAAATTTTTTTAAATTCCTCAATTTTTCGTAATGTATAATTTTTACTTATAGTGTCCGCTTGTCTCGATTAGCCCCTATGGTTACTACAGGCGACCAGCAGTACACCTATATGTTTATATACCCTACTAGAAATACATGCATGCAGTAACCCCGCGCCAATATTTTCCAAACATTAAATTAACATGAAGTATTCAGAAATGGCCCACTGAACGCAGGCTCGCGCTCAAGTGTTGCCATGACAACACGATATTCTTAAATTTTTAATTTTTCATATTTTTTGTACAAAACTGCAAAATAGTTCAGAATTTCGTACTTTAACTATACAACAATAAATTTCCATATTATATACTGTAGGTATACTATTTTGCATTTTGTAAGCTTTGATTTAATGTAAAATTTAACTTGAAACGCTTCGTAAAATGTTTTGAAATCTTCATTCAACTATAGTTCATTTGCCGATATTAAAACTAATAAATATAAAACATAATAAGTTACAAATAAAACAAATTGTTAGGTAATTTCAGTTCAGTCTTCAAATCAATTTGTTCTCCTTTACATTTTAAGATTTTTCCTCAAATTAAATTAAACTGTGATTTATGAAACTTAGAGCTTCGTTTAAAAGGAAAACAGTTCATGTTTTTAGGCAAAAAGTTAATTAAAGAAACAAAATTCGTAAACATTAAATATTCAAAGGAAACTTGCCGTATATTTCACGATTTCCCATAGTAAATCTATTCTCATCTCTTCAAACAAAATTGCTTCAATTAAGCTTGTTGTATATGAAACGATTTTCCAAATATATGTCTTTAAAATTGAAATCTTGCTCATCCCACTCCTACACGCAATCGACCATATTTTAGAGATCAGTGAGGATGACCACCCATCGTTGGTGACCGACGCCCGCGATATTTGATGAACTTTAGACTTCGCTAATGCTTTCGTTTCCCCGGGTGTAAATAGCCGGGGGGAATTAGTACCCTCGCACGGCGCTTCGTGCCGTCGGCTCGGGGAATATAATTATTTATGTATTTGAAATATAATAGTGCTCAGTAAATTTCTTTTTCTTCTGTTTTTTTTTCAATAGGCCTTCAATTGATTACAATATGAACGTTAGCATTGTAAGCATTTAATGGTTTGAAAGTCAATAACAGTGCATTACCTATATAAATTATGGCATTGATATATTTTTGACGAAATTTACACTCAACTGTTTCCATAAAAATTTCTGGTGTTTTTTCGTTTATAGTTTCCTTGCAGGTTAACACACAAATTCAGTGATTAAATAAATGATAAATTTAATATATGAATAAATTGTTCCTTTGCTTCTGTTTTCTTTACTTGGATGTTTGACTGATACAACAATATTTTATATCTTTTTATATATTTTATTATTAGCATGACAAAATTACTGGATGCTGATTGTTTGAGAGGAGTACAATTATTTCATTAATTGTACTGCAGTACAATTAATGATTTTCCCAAAACAATCAAAATGGCGGAAAGGTACTTTAAACACAAGCATGAAATGAAATTGCCGTGGAGGAACTAGATGAAAATACGAACAAAAGCACCATATTTTGCTTTAACAAAAGAACTAAAAGAACTAAAAGAAAATACAAACAAAAGTACCAAATTTTGGTTGAAATTCTGGCAGGACTGGGTTTTGGCGAGAGAATATGATGCTGACATTGAGAAGTACGTATCCAATTTTGTCATGCTAATAATAAACAAGTAATCATGCGATGTTGCTCGTACAATTAGGGATTAATAGTACTCGTGATGTTTGGAAATTTGCCAAATTGGACTCGCCCCAGCGGCTCGTCAAATTTTGGCAAAATTTCCAAACATCACTCGTACTATTAATCCCTAATTGCACTCGCCATTAATTGTTATCGCAATATAACCAAGATGAATGACAAAGACTTTTTATTAACTTGTTTTGCATATATTTGTGGCTGTTCAGTCAATTATTTAATTCGACTACTTACAAAGTTATAGTATCATCAAAGTCTAGTTATAAAGTCATAGATAACATATACTGTATTATTGAATCCCCAAACAACAGTCGCTAAATTATTTGTTCGTTTTGGCCACACCGTAGGTATTTAATTAAGAAAGATCACTTAACATTTATTCCCCAAAAAGTAAAGGCTAAAGCCTTTCCTTTATTATAATATAGCTTTAGTCACTATTCTGATTTTCACCTAAACCCAAGGAATATGGATTATTTGTGAGCCTAGCTTTGTTAAAATTTTACCTGTAGAAATCGGATAATCTGATAGTTGGAAGTCCGGGGGGATTACTAAAAAGAGACCTATATAGGAATCAGCCTTTCAACATATAACCTGTGTGGGAAATATGGTTTTAAAGAAAAAAATGACCTCTGGGAATAAGCACTAAGCCATATTCATGTTGATCACCTATACGGGACATATTGGGAGGTTCGAATATTAAATGGAACGACCCAATGTAGCGATGCTGAGACCTGTTTAGATGTTTTTAGGGTAGGCGGTCGTTAGTGTCTTATAGTGCAGTTTTAATATAAACTATAATCTTTTTGGGCAATAGTTATACCAAACCGTGCGACACCCTGGTGAAAGTATACTGTATGCTGAAAACCCTATACGCCGAAAGTGTTCGTAATTACATCGTTCATTTATTTTTTATAAAATTTCCATTTCATTTTTCTCAAGTCATTAAATGTTGGTCGTTTTTAACATAAGTGTCTCCCACGAATCGAGTGTACATCTGCCTTGACAATATGGATATTGCTCATTCTTTTAATGTCCTAAAATATAAAAGTGGAATTATTCTAAATGGCGTTTTGTGGCACACCAAAAAGGCAGGAAAGTTCCACTGAGCTCCATATATATCTGGAGCGAAAACTCGAGTCCAAAAATTGCAGCCAAGTTGGCGGAAATTGAAGAGGAATGTTGAAGAGCCATTGATTGGGCGTCAGTTCCAGTCCCTTTCTATTGTTTATGTCTGCGCGGTCTGGCAAGGAGTGTACCGAAGTTTTGTATTTTGACCTCGATTTAAAGAAAACAATATGGTTTTATGAAATGATAATTTCAGTTAACGATACGGTCCGTTAGCTAGAAAAGAACTGGAATTAGCTGTTTATTATAGGACCTTCGAAGCTATTGGACGTCAATTTCCGCCATCTTCGCTTCACTTTTCACATAGACCGAATGACTGAAGTTCTCCAGATAAACAT